GCAAAGAGCAAAGCAGGCCAGGCCAGGAAGGTTTTGTGGGTGTCCTGGCAGGCAGATGAGTGTGACCTAGGGCTGGTTCGGCTGTGGGGCGGAGGCCTGTGAACATTCCACAGGAGCACATCCACATGCAAGACGCACCAGGACAGCGAAGGCTGACAGCGCGGAGTTCTGCGGGCTGGCGGTGGGGTGCAGTGCTCTATACCACACAGACTCGAGGATCCAGTTCACAGTTCACACCCTGAGCCCAAGAGGGAAACAGCCTGAGGACACAGCCAATCACGTAAACGGGGAGTAAGGTGTGCAGAGTTCATGATCTTGCTGTTCTGGACTGTCTGAACTTTCTCAACATGTTTGTACAGTGACCACATCTTAGTGACAACCAAGTGACGGAGAAATCTGGAGATATGTCATGAAGCAGTAAAGTCAAGAACTTGGCTTGGGAGAGGAGATGTGTGCTGGGGCCCAGACCCTTGCTCCACAAGCTGGCTCCCTCCACTAGGGCCGCAGCATACTGGGCCTTGGCCTTGTCAGACTCCCGGACACCTCCGCCTCCTTCTCATCAGGTACAAACATGACCCAGCATCCCTGGTCATTGGAAAGATCACAACGGGGAGACCAGCTCAGCCTGCTGGTGCAGGATCCACAGGGGCCTGGTTTTCCCCAGGAAACGTACACACACGCACGCACGCATGCACGCACACACGCACCCCAAGTAGGGCTATACTGGTAAGACATCATTGAGAAAGAAAAAGCAAATGAGATTTCACCAATAGAGGAAAGAGTTCAAATGCCACCCAAGTAACGCTTGTATCATAAATTCTAATCTATTAGAAATTAATAGTGTGAGGGTGTTGCTTATCACAATCAAAGGAATGCAGCTAACAGGAGGAAGAGATTTTATAGGTGATAGCTGCTTTTTTGGGGGGGGGGTTAGTCATGGAGCTTGAACTCTGGGCCTGGGCGCTGTCCCCAAGCTCTTCAGCTCAAGGCGAGCATTCTACCACTTGACCACTTGAGCGACAGCACCACTTATGTTTTTCTGGTGGTTTATTGGAGATAAGAGTCTCATGGACTTTTCCTGCCCGGGCTGACTTTGAGCCGTGATCCTCAACTCTCAGCCTCCTGAGTAGCTAGGATTACAGGTGTGAGCCATCCATGCATGGATGAATTTTCTTTTTCTTTTCTTTTTTTTTTTTTGTTGGTTGTGGGGCCTGAACTCTGGGCCTGGGTGCTGTTTCTCAGCTCTTCAGCTCAAGGCTAGCACTCTACCACTTGAGCCACAGCGCCACTTCTGGCTTTTTCTGCTTATGTGGTGCTGAGGAATTGAACCCAGGGCCTCATGCATGCAAGGCAAGCACTCTACCAATGAGCCACCTTTCCAACCCTGAATTTTCTTTTAAGACAGGTTAAGTGAATGAACTAAATGTTCAATTTAAGCTGCTTTAAAAAATATACAAAATAGGGCTGGGAAGGTGGCTAAGTGGTAAAGCGCTTGCTTGCATGCATGAGGCCCTGGGTTTGATTCCTTAGCACCACATAAGTAGAAAAAGCTGGAAGTAGTGCTGTGGCTCAAGTGGTAGAGCGCTAGCCTTGAGCTAAAGAGCTGAGGGACAGCGCCCGGCCGAGTTCAGGCCTCACAACTGACAAAAAAAAAAAAAAATTTAAGAAATCAGTAAATTATTATTTTTTTGCCAGTTGTGGGGCCTGAACTCTGAGCCTGGGCGCTGTCCCTCAGCTCTTCAGCTCAAGGCTAGCGCTCTACCACTTGAGCCACAGCGCCACTTCTGGCTTTTTCTGCTTATTTGGTGCTGAGGAGTTGATGCCAGGGCCTCATGCATGTGAGGCCAGCACTCTACCACTGAGCCACAGCGCCACTTCTGGCTTTTTCTGCTTATTTGGTGCTGAGGAGTTGATGCCAGGGCCTCATGCATGTGAGGCAAGCGCTCTACCACTGAGCCACAGCGCCACTTCTGGCTTTTTCTGCTTATGTGGTGCTGAGGAATTGAACCCAGGGCCTCAGGCATGCAAGGCAAGCGCTCTACCACTGAGCCACCTTCCCAGTCCTAATTTCTGTTGTTAAAGCAGAATCATAAACACAGAGGAAATGGCAGCACTAAAAGCTGTCTGTAGGAAGACATGAAGCTTCATGTGGTCCAGGAAGCCACTCTGAGGGACAGCGTGGGTAAAACAATAAAAAGAAAACCCCACAACTGATTGCTGCGTGCCTAGCATTTTAAAAGATAAATCAAACCTTTAGGATCAAGGGGAAAAAAAGACCTAAGTAGACAGGAAGGAATAAGAAAGAAATAAAGCACAAGATTTAAAGATGAACAACGTGACTAAAATTTATCAATAAAATCTAAAATATCATTGAAGTGAAAGCCGGGTGCCGGTTGCTCACATCTGTTATCCTAGCTACATCTGAGGACCGTGAATTAAAGCCAGCTAGGGCAGGAAAGTCCATGAGACTTTTATCTCCAATTACCCCCAGAAAACCTGAAGTGATGCTGTGGCCCAGAGCGGTAGAATGCTAGCTTTGAGTTAAAGAGCTCAGGGACAGTTCCCAAGCCCTGAGCTTAAGACACATGATCAACATTAAAAAAAAAAATCTCATTAAAGTAAATCATTTTAAGGAAAAGCTAAACAGACTCCAACAATGGAGAACAGACTGGACAGTCCCCAGACATTACAGCTACTGGGAAATGAGTGTAATTGATCAAAGGTTCACATAACTCTCCCACAGGAAAACCAATTTACTTGATGCTTCTATAACCTGACACCAAAGCAACTAAGAATAACACAAATAAGGGGTGGAATTTATCTGAGGATCACACACTGTTGTATATTAGAAAAAGCCACTCATTTTCATCTCTGCATTGAGACAAAAAGAAAATCCATCTTTGGGGCTGGGAAGGTGGCTCAGTGGTAGAGTGCTTGCCTTGCATGCATGAAGCCCCAGTTTGATTCCTCAGCACCACGTAAGCAGAAAAAGCTGGAAGCAGGTGCTGTAGCTCGAGTGGTAGAGCGCTAGCCTTGAGCTGAAGAGCTGAGGGACAGCACCCAGGCCCAGAGTTCAGGCCCCACAACCAACAACAACAACAACAAAAAAATCCTTTTTTTTTTTGCCAGTCATGGTCCCTGGCAGACTCCGGAAGGTAATGTGTGAAGTCCAGGCTTCCTAGTTCTCGCTGGAATCCAGTCAGCTGGACCTGGTGTTCTGGAGGCTGTGGTGTGGTGAGAGCACGCGGAGTAGCCCTGGCCACCTCCCACACACTGCCCAGTGTGGCTGGGGGCCCTCAGGATGCCCAGTGTGGCTGGGGGCCCTCAGGATGCCCAGTGTGGCTGGGGGCCCTCAGGATGCCCAGTGTGGCTGGGGGCCCTCAGGATGCCCAGTGTG